CAGAAGGCCAAGCGTAATTCCACCCAATGATATTTTAACTATTTATTACTACTATTTATTTTTCCTATTACTTCCATTCCATAGTTTGGGACACTAGTGATTTTATTTATCAAATTATTTATAATCTGAGCTATTTTCTGTTACTGCAATAAAGGCCGGTGTACATTGGACAAATGTTTAGTTATTGACGCATTTAGTATCTGTGAAGCCTGAGTACATCAGCAGTTCCATCGTAAATCATGTTTTCAGAAGCTTTCAAATCAGCCATAAAAATCAGCATAGGCTGTGACCTGGAGGAAAAAGATCTGTCATTAGATCTGAAAAAAATCTATTTGATTTAGGACGACAATAGAAAAAGAAGATACGTTTAACTGCAGAAATACTTACATCTGCAAATATTTGCCCCCCAACAATTTTTTAGCACGTGAACTTAGGGCCTGATCCCACTGCAGTCAATGGAAAGATACTCGTTGATTTCAATGGCTTTTAGATCAGGCACTCCTGGCCTCATCTTGCACCATCCAGGTTGATGGGAGGTCTGCCATTAATTACCATGTGCACAGGATCAGGGTCATAGGCCCCTGTTCTGCAGGGTACTTAAAAATGTGTTTAACTTTCCACTGAATTCAAAAGTTTCAAGTCGGAAACATGCTTAAAGACCTTGCTGATTCAGGTCTAGAATGTTCAGAACCTTCAGGATCAATAACAAAAGGTACGTCTACACCAGGAGTGGGCAAAATACACCCGCGGGTCGGATCCGGCTCGTCTAACATTTCTGTCAGGCCCGCCATGACTAACATTTCTGTCCGGCCTCCTCTGCCTTCTCGCGATCTCCGAGTCTGGGCTGCTAAAAGTCCTGCAGCGCAGCGGAGCGCTCAGGCAGTCTGCTTGTCAGCCGTGGCCCCATGTCACTCCTGGAAGCGGCCAGTTGCTGCTGACACACCTCTGCACGCCCCTGGTGGGGGGGGAAGTGGATCCGCATGCTACCCCTGCCCCCAGCACCATCCTCACAGCTCCCATTGGCCGGAAACTGGCCAATGGGAGCTGCAGGGGCAGTGCTTGTGGGTGCAGGCAGCGCACAGAGACATGCCAGCAGCAGCCGGCTGCAGCCACTTCCGGGAGCGGCGTGGGGCCATGGCATGCAGGCAGCCTGCCTGAGCCCTGCTGTGCCGCTGGCCAGGAGCTGCCTGTGGTAAGTGCCTCCCGGCCCCCACCTGCACCTTGCACCCCCTCCCACACCCCAACTCCCTGCCCCAGGTCAGAACCCCCTCCTGCACCCAAATGCCCTCCCAGACCCTGCCCCCCCTCCTACACTCCAACCCCCTCCCCCAGCCCAGAGTCCCCTCCTGCACCAAACTCTCTCCCAGAGCCCACACCCTTCACTCTCCCTCTGCACCCCAACACTCTGCACCAGCCAGGGGCTCCCTCCTGCAACCTTCTAGTGTTGCAGCATTTAGGGGGTCACAGTTTGTACCTTTTCTCAGCACCTATGGAAGCTGTTGACATACTTTTAGCTTAGATTATTGGGTAACAATTGCAGTCCAGCAGAGGAGGCTCTAGGAAAAACACCAAATATTGCAAGATTTGCGATATCAGTCATAAAGGTGCACAACACTGCTCCTGTTTTCAGTTGCTCAGAACTTCTTGAAATGAATTGCTATTGAGCAGAAAACGACTTGTGTGGTATTTGCCCCAAAATGATTTTTTACATAAAAGTTTTAATAGAATCTGTGGATTTTTTTTTAAGTCCTGCATGTCGTAGGACAAATATACTGCAATGAGCTTTACCTGCAGTAGCTGTGTTGCAGGCGGTGGGTGTGGTTTGAGAGAGACCGGAAATGGAAACAAGTCTTCTGGGATATGTGTGTGCAGCGTGGGAGAGGGGCTACCTGTCACCACCAGCTCTAGGAGAGACAGGTACTATTGTGTAAGGGATCTGGCTGTACTATGGTCATGTTGACAATATGGTTTCACCTCAATTATTTGAAAACCCCTGTGGCAACATCTTTTCTCATGGGTAATGGCTGTTCAGAGGAGGGGGCCCAGCTTCAGCAACATCACATAATAAACCCCTATCTCAGACATGAACACTGTCAGGTACTGGTGTTAGCTCAGTAGTTGGGATGTCAGACTACTAGCACTGAGGGATAACACTATGTTATGTTGAGGAGCAGATATTCTGCAAATTTATGAATGTGGCATACACAGAGGCCACATTCTGATTCACTAGGAAACAATGAAACCTTTCAAGCACCCTCTTCTCCTCCTCGCTACACAATACACTCGCCTGAATCATTTGGCTCCTCCTCCCCGATAGACCGGTGAAGTCGGGGAGAACTCTGATGTTACTGCAGGGGGCCTCCGTACTCAGTGGCAGCAAGCCTGCTGCCAAACCATGCTAAGTTGAATAATGGGAGAAAATGGTCAGCTCACCTACTCATAGGAATACTGATAACCCTGTGTGTACAGAGTCTGCCAGCCTTTATAGATATACTAGCTAAGGCATAATAAAACCAGAAATATATATGAGTGGAAGTGACCCTCCAAAAAGTAACCTTCCCTGTGAAGGGAGGGAGCATTCCCTCCCTGGCTATTATGTAGATGCCATTCTGTGAATTACTGGGGGTAGACCTGGGTCAAAGAGATGTGCAATGCAAGAGATGGTGCTATCACTGGCATCATTCGCTCTTCTTTTCCAGTGGGAGCTCTGAACTCTACTGGTGCTATTAAGCAGAGCTAGTCCAAAGCTTCTGGCAAAACATTTTTCTGTTGGAAAATACTTTGTCGGCAAAACTGATTTTTTTTTTTTTTTTGCCAAATTGTTTAGATTTTGACAAAAGTGCTTTTGGAGAAAACCTGTTTTGAAAAGATCAAAACATCCTGTTTTGATGTTTTCAGAATGAACATTTTCATTTTTTTATTTCAAAATGTCTTTTTCTTTAGAAATGTACTTTATTCGGTATAAAAATAAATAGGGTAAAAGTCAAAATGAAACATTTTGATTAACCTGAAAAGAAAAAAAATGAAAATGTTGAAATTTTTGTCTTTTCATCCCAATTTTGGATGCTTTTTTCCCCAAATCTCCAAATTTTTCATGGGACAGAAAAACCATTTTCTGACTGGCTTTAATAAAATTCACAGGAGGATCCATCCAGTGTCAACACAGTTCCTATTGACACTCCACCGTCATTGGGGAGAAGAAAATGCAGAGTATTAGCCATCCCGATGTGATGGCTCTACATAGTAGGGTAGGTGTCTTCCCCATGGATCCCTGAGGCTGCAGTCCCTCAACCCCTCTCACCAATGAGGACAGTGCCAGGAACACTCTACAAAGTGAACATAAGAGTTTCCTTTCTTCTTCCCCTCATCTCACTTCTTTCTCTAGACAGGGCTGATCAAAGCTGGACTGTGAATGGGGCAGTTTTTAGCCTTCATAAATCATACTCTGAGTTCCTCAGAGACAAACTCAACAGTGAGGATATACTCTTCCCCCTTGATTAGCTTGATGCTATCTGGACTACTGCATCCAAAACTAAAAAGAAGACTGCCCTTGGCAAAGTGAGTTTCTGATAAATAATTCAATCAGGTGTAGAGCCGAGATCCATGTCTTCTGTAGACTTATAAAATGCTCAGAGACACAGAACTTTTTCAGTACTGTAGAGTCCTCAACTAGCATAGCCCAAGAGTGAATACTACCATTTTACATATAAAAATCCATCATTTGGAAATTGAAACTGCAAGTTATTTTGTGAAGCAAGGCGAAGGCAAATTTGATTATTTAAAACCATTATTTGTAGGTGTTGACAAATGTAATAACATTTCAAACATAAAAGCAAAGGGGGATGTTTTCACATTTCAATTCCAACAGTTATAAAAGAAACTCTTTCATGCTTAAAATTCAAAGTCAGCATGTAAAGTAATTTCACTGTTTCAGAGACCTGAATTACCTGCAATGGCCTTAGGGCATTATTCACTCACAGAGGAAAAAAATGTAGTTAAATATTGCTATGATTTTCCTAAGTAATTTTTCTGCAGGAGACAAGTTGATTTGAATCACCGATTTCATGATTAAAGTGATGACATTTTGTGACTGCAGAGGCCCATGTAATTGAGGTTTCAGTGGACTTAGGGATGTGTCCAAAAATTAAATATAGGAGTGTGGAAGCAATGCTGACAGAGAGACCAGTATTTAATTTTCACTGTTAAAATCTGTGCAGGTATGACACAGGTATGAAATACATGGTAAGTATTTACGTAGAAAATGTTTTAAGGTTTGATTAAAGCCCTCCACCAGAATGCTAGGCCACTGCACTAGCCTATTTAACAATTTATGTCATTCATATTATCTCTATGTAAAGGATTACTACACTAAGAGAGACCATTTATAACCCATTGGTTTTAATGGCTCCATTTTCTGATCCTTTCAAGTTACCAATCTACCAAAGGGGCCATCTTCTGCCTGATCACTTGTTATGCCAATCAAGATTGGGAGCTGGAGCCCAAAACATAATTTCATAAAGACGAGGGATGAAATCCTGGTCCCACTGAAGTCAAGTGGGATTAAATTGAATTAATCAGGCTAAGATTTCACACTCTGGCAGGATTCTGAAGTACTCTCCCTTCTATGTACACCAAACCAAACGGTGGCATTCTTTCAAGTGGGGTTCAATATGTGCTTGTTTTCTTTTTAACCAGTAGTTCTAAAGGGGCCAGAAGCTAAGGAAATTGTTGCTTTTATGTATTTGGATTCTTCCTGCAGAGCTGAACAGGTTATTGGATAACTGTGAACTAATTGCTCTTGTAGTATTTAGTTGAAGTTTATTTTCGTACAACACTCAGACACTCCAGGGCTAGAGAAGTTTTATAGATGATCTACTCATCCATTTGCCCAGGGTGAGAACGTTTCTTAGTGGTTGAGCAGAATGTCATTAGTTTTTCTGTTTTGTTTGCAGTGTTGCTGTAGCTGTGTTGGTCCCAGGAGATTAGAGAGGCAAGGTGGGTGAGGTAATATCTTTTATTGAACCAACTTCTGTTGTTGAGAGAGACAAGATTTTGAGTTTACACAGAGGTCTGCTTCAGGTATGGGAAAGGTACTCAGAGTGACACAGCTAAATACAAATTGTTAAGCATAAAGTTAACACATGTTGCAAGAGACCATTCAAGGTGAAGTGGGCAGGTAACACCTCTGCAGTCATAGGACAAAGGAGGGTTGGTGGGTTACGGATTGTTGTAATGAGCCATAAACCCAATGTCTTTACTGAGTCCATGATTTTAAGAGTCTAACACAGTTATGAATTTAAGCTCCCAGACTCAACTTCTGAAGGTGTTATGCAGGTTTCCTTTGTGGCCTGAGAGGTCAGAGATGGAATGATCACTTTGTGAAAAGTGTTTGGCCATGGGTGATATGGTGTTTTTGTCTTTTATCATTTTTCTGTGTGAGTTCATTTAAGAAACATAGTGATTGTCTCATTTCACCCACATGGTTGGGGCATTTGATGTACTGGATGAGGTACATCACATTATTGTGACAGGAGTGTATAAGACCCATGGATCCTGAAATGTATGTTGTGCGGAGAGGATGTTGATCATTGTAGCTGTGGAGATATGTCTACTTATTTTGCATCATCAGTCATTACAGAGAGCAAGTGAGTAGCTTGTGCATCTGGAATGGTCCATTTTCTTGACAATGTTGGAGGGCTGTTAAATAATAATGTTGGTTACCAAGTTGGGGCTGATCCTATTGTCTGCATAGTAAGTTCTCTTTTATTCAGTGTTAGTATATCCCATCACTAGGCTGCTGTGTAGTACATTGATTATCTAAGTGTAATGAGGGTTGGTGACTTATGCTGGAATATTGAGGGATTTTTAAATGTAAGGTATGGGGAAATAGATTAACTGACGTGTGGGTAGTGAAGGTTCAAATGTGTATTTGCACCTATGCACGGGACCCAAAATCATCTTTTACTTCTTGTTCTTCAAGCCAGTGGAAGCTAAACACATTACTGAGGCAAGAAACAATCACACCTACTCTGATTAATGGAACAACAAATTAACATTAGCCATGAAAAGGCCAGTTATTCAGCATCCTCTCTTCTGCATGCATTGGCTGTGTCTAACTAAATGTGCAGCATTTGGAATAAAAGAGTAACATTTTAACAGAGGACAGAGGAGATCCAAATGAAACAACCCTCCTTTGAGATGACGTCATTTTCCTCCATCTTTATCAGTCTCAAGGAGTGGAGCTCTGTAACACTAAAATGACTCATTGGTGACTGGAGTCCTAAAAATACAAAATGTGAAAATCAACCAGTGCATCCATATCACTAGGAAAATCTCACTTGTCCTCAGGTTTAGCACACTTCTTATTACAGGAAACCAAATTGCTCTAATAGGGCCCAATCCAATGTTCACTGAAATCAAAGAATTTTAAAGAATTTCCAGTTGACTTTACTGAGTATTGGACAGAGCCTATATTTAACCTAATTATTACAAGGTGTTTGAGAGAGCAGATACAGGCAAAACATATGGTGGTATCAGTTGAAAAATTAAAATAATGCAAGGTTCAAAGTACATGGGTTATCCAAGGCATTTGTCTAAAAGCATTGTCTTCTAAACCACAATCTCTATCGTGAAAATTGTTTTAATAGACTTACTTCTCATTTTTGTTTTTCCGCTGAATTTTCACTTACCTAAATAAAGTTTTGTTATCATTATTGTTTTTTCTTCTGCTACTGGAATGCAGCCTTGATGACTCTGTCGCTAAGTGGCTGAGTTGGTCTAAAGTTATCTCCTAATATCCCATCACAGCCTTCTAAAAGTTCTGCACCTTTAACATGTGTCCTCAGTCTTCGAAACTCTTCTATCTGAAAAAGTAAAGAAATGACATGCAGAATATTTTAGATATTTTGTTCACTGTGGGGCCAATGATCTATCCTAAACTCTAGTTGAATGTGTGGTTTTCAATGCCTAAATATCTAAGCACATCAATTCTCATAATCAAGTAATTGTGGGTGGATAAATTTATACACAAAAACTGCATTTGCTTGGGCAAAATGAGTAGCAGTTACAACTGATGTCAACCGATTCGATTGTGTGCATAATGTCCAAAGGGTTCTAGCTCAGACTACCGCTTGTTCTTGAAAAAGTGCTTGCCAAATACTTGGACATTCATACCTCTCCATGCAATTTTAGAAACTTCTTTTGAAAAATTAAATCAGTAGATTAAAAACTGAACATAACTGGGGGAGAAAATGCAGATTAGTGAATGTCTGTATTTTTTAAATTGTTGGTATAACATGAATATGGTATTTTGAGCCAATTATTTTTAAAATAAGTGCCTACATTGTCACTGCAAAAAAATAATTGCACATGCAGAATATGTAGCTGTATGGGCAAAACAAGAAAGTGTGAGCATATGGTTTTGAAAGCTAATCTCTGCATATCTTATCACCACTTTTTTTAGAGTATATATTCAGGGCCAACCTTTGGGGTGGGCAATTGGTGCAGCCACCCTGAATGTCAACATTTGGGGGTGCCAAATGATCACATTCAGGGATGCCAAATCCCTGGTGTGTTAGTTTTTTCTAGTTGTTGTGTTTTGCTTGTGCATTTTGGGTTGGTGCAGGAGGGGCCACCAAAAACGTTTTCAGACAAATCACCTAAGGCCTGTCGTGCAGGTATTTCCCTATTTCGCATTTCATTCTATATCACCTCCTTTCACCTTCCTCTGTAGCATGGGGCATGGGTCACTTGCTGGAGGATTCTCTGCTCCTTGAAGTCTTTAAACTACGATTTGAGGACTTCAGTAGCACAGAGATAGGTGTGAGGTTTTTTGCAGGAGTGGTGGGTGAAATTCTGTGGCCTGCGTTGTGCAGGAGGTCAGACTAGATGATCATAATGGTCCCTTCTGACCTAAATATCTATGAATCTATGCATGCAATAACACAACAGACAGAGGGCCTCTTTCTGCTCTCACTTAGATGATGGTAAATCAGGGATAACTCGTTTAATAGCAGCATAAGTCCTCTGTGAAATCAGAAAAGGTGCCAGAGGGTGAGTTCATAGTGACATATCTTCATTTGTTAAGCATAAGACAAAAAGTAGAGTCCTGCAGCACTACTGAACCAGTCTGTGCACCTGGCTGCAACAGCACACTCTTTTTGACAGTTTGTTTTAAAATAGGATTTTAAATGAATGCAAATCACATGTATTTTAAACAGAAAAGAACATAATAGTAGAAGGAAAGTAACAGGAAAGAGTGATCTGTTAAATAATTAAACTTCATAGAAGAATTACATCTCTTTTCTTTTCTTTGGCATAATAACAAAATATAGAGGATAGATTCTCCCCACTCAGAGTATGGAAATCTCTATAATGATTCTCTCACAGAGACTCCATTGTGTGTAGAAAACCATTCGAAAACTGTGCCATTTTACATTGGCCTCTGTTTCTCTGCCCTAGCACCCAACTCCTCAGCAACCCAACTCCATTGCATCCCTAGACTGGAGCTCCACAGAAAAAGTGATGGCGCCTAGGATCATATCATCATTTCTAGGTAACATCTGTGAGGCCAGGGTGGGGTGGATGGTGGGTATTCCTACCATCCATTCATCCTCCTGAATGACTCTGTTTCCACACCCTCCTACAGCACAGATCCCCCAGCATGCTGAAAGGGCTCTGCCAGCCCCAAGGAGGGAAGGGTGTCACAGAGGACTCCTCCATGCATGTATAATAGAGACCAAGGGGTATGTAAATCTAACCCCAGATTTTTAGGAAAGTGAAGTGTTCCAAGATAGCTAGTGGTATTTTCTAGAATCTTTGTAGCTGCTATATTGGCTGGGGACACAGTTTCCTATTGTAATTCAGAAGATAACCACAATCACTGTTATTTACTGCAAAAAAGTACAGAGCCGCTTCTTTTCATATTTATGTGTTTGATGGCTAGCTCTTCCCTGTAGCTGAGATTCTCTTTCCTCAGAGAGCAGCATGTTGTACCTCTCATAGCTGAGATGTAAGGAAGACAGCTTGGTCTGAAAAGATGAAAGGAGGGAGGAATGGTGGGCTCTTTTAGAATGCTTTTAAAGGCAGGGCTGTTGTATTAATTTAGCTGGAATACAGATGCCTATTCTTGAAGATTTTTTTTCTATTATTTTATGACTATTTAACTCAAACTGAAAATAAACACATCATAGGCCTGGAGACTGAAGAAGCCTGCAGAAGTCAAGTGCTGGTCGAAGCAGTGAGCGACCTTTCTGAAGGTGGCCTCTTCCACCAGAGCTGAACTGAATCAATACTGGAATAATCTGAAATCACTAGTTTGGGAAGAAGCATTTCACAAGAGCACGGCTTTCATTTGATCTTTGGAGGCTTGGAGACTTCAAATAGAAACAAATCAAGCAGGAAAAGGCCTTTCTGTAAAGCCAATATTTTGGAATTACCCACTGCTGCAACTTCAAATGTGCTGCAGTATACGCCGGGCTGGATCACATACCTCCTGGAGGCTTTCCTCACAGAGCAGCTCCAACACCATTCAGTCAGGAGGGCAGGGTTCACCCCAGTCCCACAGACTGAGTTCTGGGGCCCTATCACAAACCTTTGATCTGCAGAGGGTCAGAGCCATCGCACTGAGATGCACTGTGCCTCTGAATCAGCTTTGGAGCCACACTGTCTGCCTGCCCAATTCCTGGTAGCGTGGTTCCAGGCCAGACACACTGCATGGCTCTGCTAGCCATGGCTGTCCTCATGACCACGGAGGAAGTGGCTCTGTGGGAAAGAGGACAGGCCCAGGCTCTATTACCTTTCCCGGATAACTTCCACAGGGAAGAGAAGGGAAACTGTGTGACCCACTGGCCCTGCCCCACCCAATGTGTAGTTTGCCACCCTCTGCCAACCTTCCCATGTCTCCCCCCTCCCACAGATACCACCATTTGCAACACACTCTGCAAGGCCCTGCAGAGAAAAAGGATATTTCAGTGAAGGTGACTCCCTTTCCCAGAACACCCATTCCACCTGGGAGTGGGGAGATCCAGGCACAGAGGGTTCCATCCATGTTCAGATCCAGGGTGCATGAGCTGATCTTTTGAATGGAATAAGAAGGCCCAATCCTGGTCCCACTAAAATCCATCCTAACACTCCCTTAGAATTCTACTGAAAACCAATTCAAGCCCAAAACATTAACTATGTAGAACCCTAAACCAGATTAAAGCTCTTTGCTGTATTATAAACACTGTGCAGAAACCGTTCATCATTTATATCAAAGCTAATGACAAAACACCATTAGCTTCTATTTTTCAGAATTTTGCTTTAACATTTAGGTCAGTTTTCCTGATTTCAGACTTTAAATTTTGCTTTATTCATGGTTCCAATTAAATGGCTATTTTCTTCATAGCACAACACAAACCCAAGAATGTTTCCTCTGTGAAAATCAGCTTTGCTTGGAAAATGGACCCATTATCGTTTAGGTCGTTTTTTGTTTCCAGTTTTGCTTGAAAATTTCACGTACCTTAGTAACACTTTCTATGAAAACAGGCAATTTTTTGAGTGAACAAAATACTATGAATCTCCCATAGTTCTCTATTTTTCGGAACATATTTCCACACCACTCCAGCCCCAACCATCTATTCCAGTGACTATTTATTTTCTTTAAAAATGATTCAGAACAAATGAGCTAGACAAAGGGGCTAGAGATCTAGCCACTCAATTCAAAACTAGCTAACTCTGACAGTGAGTATAGCGGAATGACAGCTGCTCACTGTATCACTGTTAGAAAGCCACATTCTGATCGGCTCAGAGGATGCAATTGTTCTGTGCTTCAGTGAACCACAAAACAAATTCTTCGTAAGTGTCCAGTTACAAAAACAAATTGTCCAGAAAAGTCTGAACAAGCTTTTCCCTATTTTTCCTTTCCTTTGGGAACATAATAAGAGGGAGAATACTATTCTTATTACAATGTTACATTTCTGTAGTACATAGGAATGTGCTCGGCGTCTCCCAAAACAAATTAAGACATTGTCTTTCCCATTGAAATAAAGGTAACATGAGAAGTGAGGGTCATAAACAGACAAGAGAAGGGAAGGGAGGAAGAAGGAGAAGGCTGCCACTAGGAGGGAGCAGTTATCCTGTAAAGGCTTGATCTTCTTCCTGTTGACATCAGTGACAAAAATCCAAGGGCCAGAGTGTGGACCCCTTGTTCCCACTGCTGAGCAGTTACTTGGCAAAAGCCATCCAGACTTAAATAGGACTGCTTGTGAAAACAGCTGCACAGTCAGGCCCCAGTTGACTGCTGGGGGAGTAGGATCAGGCCTTAACATCCTGATAGTTCTGTTCCTTGTTTCTTCTTTTGTTACTCAGGTAATTAATAAGTTCTGATCTCAGCAACCAAAGTGACAAATATGTACTGGACCTGATTCTTCTCTTACACTGGTGTAATCAGGAGTAACTCCACTGTGGTCAGTGGAGTATAAAACTATCATAAGTAAGAGGAGAGTCAGGCCAACTGGTTGGAATCCTCATCAGCCACTCATAACTAACTCTAGATCAAACCAGTTTATACTTCTCTACCGTCTTTGTGCCCATATTAAGCAAAAATATGATATGAGTCAGCAGTGTGCCCTTGTTGCCAAGAAGGCAATGGTATATTGGGCTGTATTACTAGGAGTATTGCCAGCAAATTGAAGGAAGTGATTATTCCCCTCTATTCAGCACTGGTGAGGCCACACCTGGAGTATTGCATCCAGTTTTGGTCCCCCCACTACAGAAGGGATGTGGACAAATTGGAGAGAATCCAGCGGAGGGCAACGGAAATGATTAGGGGGTTGGGGTACATGACTTATGAGGAGAGGCTGAGGTAACTAGGCTTATTTAGTCTGCAGAAGAGAAGAGTGAGGGGAGATTTGACAGCAGCCTTCAATTACCCGAAGGGGGGTTTCAAACAGGATGGAGCTAGACTGTTCTCAGTGGTAGCAGATGACAGAACAAGAAGCAATGGTCTCAGATTGCAGTGTGGGAGGTCTAGGTTGAATAGTAGGAAACACTATTTCACTAGGACAGTGGTGAAGCACTGGAATGGGTTACCAACGAGGTGGTGGAATCTCCATCCTTAGAGGTTTTTAAGGTCAGGCTTGACAAAACCTTGGCTGGGATGATTTAGTTGGTGTTGGTCCTGCTTTGAGCAGGGGATTGGACTAGATGACCTCCTGAGGTCTCTTCCAACCCTAATATTCTATGATTTTATGAAAATGAAAATGTGTTGGAATGTACAGGAATGGGAGATCTAAATGTATGTTACATAAACTGTATAATATTTTCCCATTATTTCTATTTTTCCTTCAGCATCACATTATGTTAAAATCATCTGTATTACCAGGTTAATAATAGGAACATAGGAATTGTTAAATCAAAACAGACCAATGGTCCAACCAGCGCAGTATCCTATGTTCCAATGGCAGTCCCCAAATGCATCAGAGGACTATATTCAAAAAGACCCTATAGCACACATGATTTTGTAATACTGCAGTATTGGGGGATATTTCTTTTCAATCCCAACAGACTGATCTTCTTAGTGCTGAAGCATGAGGATTGATAGTCTTATAATTTGTCTCCTCCCTTGTACCATTGCAGATGCCATTATTATTATTTGTATAAATGTCTGATCCAGTTATGAAAATTTAGGAAGCTAATTTCTTCAACAACGTCCTGCGGAAGAAAGTTCTACAAATTAATGACAGGTTTCAAAGTAACAGCCGTGTTAGTCTGTATTCGCAAAAAGAAAAGGAGTACTTGTAGCACCTTAGAGACTAACCAATTTATTTGAGCATAAGCTTTCGTGAGCTACAGCTCACTTCATCGGATGCAGTATGCATTTGCAGTATGCAGTATGCAATTTCTGTGATGAAAAAAGAGATTTAGTAAACTTCTCTCCACAATAGCCCACAAAATCTATTAGCATTTTCAGTTGTGTGCATTGTATTCAGGGCTTTGTATTTACATTCTAAAATATTTTATTGACTATCAGAAAATACAGAATATAGGCTAAAAATATCTAAGTAGTGTAAAGCAGAATGTCATTCAAGGCCTCAGTCTGATAGCCACAGTATTATTTGATGCATCTGAAGAAGTGGTTTTTTGCCCACAAAAGCTTATGCCCAAATAAATCTGTTAGTCTTTAAGGTGCCACCAGACTCCTCGTTGTTTTTGTGGATACAGACTAACACGGCTACCTCTCTGATACTTGAGTATTATTTGTTTACCTTCATATTTAAGATCTTTTACTTATCATATCATACTAGGATGGTTATAGCAGTTGACATAGATTAATACAGAGTATTATTCTGAGTCTACTGATACCAACAGATGTGTTTTCATTCAATCAGTGCTAAACTGTCATGAGACCTGCCCTTTCAGCAAGAACATAAGTGTCAGACTCATGATTAGATATTTTTAAGTTGCAGTCATTTAATTTAAAAAGCTTTCAGAGTAGCAGCCGTGTTAGTCTGTATCCTCAAAAAGAAAAGGAGGACTTGTGGCACCTTAGAGACTAACAAATTTATGTGAGCATAAGCTTTCGTGAGCTACAGCTCACTTCATCGGATGCATGCCTTTTAATTTAAAAAGTAGTTTACTGGGAGCTCGTGCCTTTATTCTATGATTCAATATGAATTATATTGTTGAATTAATTTCTCATATTAAAACAAACACTGTCAACTTAAAATAAGTTGCAAACAAACACATTTCTTTGTGTTACAAGTAACACCTTCGATTATTAAAAGTGAAAGAATTTTTAAAAATCCAGTTTGTCACTGTTTATGCTCTTTTGTCTCTGCTGTTTTGCCTTCTCTCAGCACGGACAATGAAAAATCAGTGCATTCATATTCTATGTTATAGTTAGGTTCACCTTGCTCATTGCTGGTGTTCCTATGATTGGGTTTCAAACACTGCAGGGGAATATTTACGTGTTCAGCACCAACAGTTTCCGTTGGTATTTTTTATTTATGTTGCGCAGAAAGGCTTACATGTATTATAGAAGCATCTTTTTAAAAAAATGGGCCAAATTTATATTGACTGTTCATTTGCTAACTTTTACTATGTAAGATTAAGAAAAGAGTAAGATAAATAAAATAGAGTGCAAAGAAATAGAGTTAACCCGCACTATTAACAATTTTCATTCTCTAGGACACAGTGTCTCCTAGTGTGTCCTTGTTCCCTTAACATCAAAAAGAAGTGATATTTGAAAGCTTTTGATTACAAAGGATTGAATTTCTTTTGCTCATTGATTTCTTGCTTTCACTTTAGCAAAGAATTATTTTAAATGCAGATGATAAATGATAAGTTTTTTTTCCATCTTTGACCTTTCCACGCATTCACTGACTAAAAAGGTTTAACATTGACTTGAAAAGCCATGTACAGATTTAATGAGATCTTCAAGGAAAACCGGATATAGCATCATGCTGTATATTCGCACGCTATAACCTTTAGCTCAGAACCATATTCTCAGGTCACTTTAAGCACAATTATTACCTGCAGTTGGGATACAGTCAATGGATATCGAAATAATATCCAGGTAACACTTTCACTGCAAGGTGGGATGGTAAGGGAGCCCTCATATACCCAATAATCACGTAAAAGAGGATCTGAAATTAAAAAGAGTATTTAACGTTAATGTAGTAATTAAGGAGTTTCTATTCATATATGCACAGATTTTATTATAATAATTTATACTTACTCTGTCCAAGAATCTAAAACTGCTAAAATCTACAGAAATGGCTATTATTATCCCTATATTGCAGATGTGAAAAAGCAAGGTTCAGAGAGCGTACGTCCTCAGTCACACAGCAAATATATGACTGAGTGGAAAACCGATTCCAGGTCTTTTGATTCCCTGGTCTTCTGCTCTAACCATTAGTAAGTGCTGCCTCCTTTAGGACTAGACTGTGCCTAGCCCTGCCTGTATAAAAGGGAAGATGAAAGAATTAGTTCCTTTCTTGTAGCTTGGTCAGAGGAGATCAGACACAGTTTCAGGCTCTGATCCTGCAGGAAGCTCAGAGCTCTTTGCTAGATTGGGGTTTAAATTCTTGTGCCCCCACAGTGATAGGGCCAAGAGCTGCAACAGAAACCCCATGAGGAGGAGCAGGTATGGCGAGGGCTGTAGTTATACACTCCCTCCATATCCACATGTGCACCTTGGTCATCATGAGGAAGACCACTTGCTGCACCCTGTAAAAGTGCCACTGTATGCATTCTCCTAGTTCTCCCGTCGGCATTGTTCCACTGCAAACATTTTCACCCTCACCCAACATGCACATGGGCTTAAAACCACAATCCAGTCTTTAATTTTAGGCAGAGCTGGTAGGCAAGGGTCCTGTGGAAAAAACCAGTATGTGAGCATGTAATTAAAGACTATATCATAATGCATATGCAACAGGGGGCTGAATTAAGGTTGCGTTTGCAGCCTTAATTCTGGCATTTGCTATCTTTTCAGTACTTGACTTTCCAACCTTAAAAATGTTCTTTTAATGTAGTTTTTTGTCTGTAAAGTGGAAAGAGAATTCCACAATGGCGTGGAATTTGACATGGAGGCAGCCCTTACAATGGAAGCTTTGTTCTGGAGCAAATTGGTAGAACTGGTCAAAAAAGGGGTCACATTTTCATGACACCCTGCAATGCGGTTGGTTACACTAATTTGTCTTTGTTGGTCTAAGACTTATTTGCTGTGTGACTTTGGGCAAGTCACTTAACTTCTCTGTTACCCATGTGTGATGTACATTTCCTACCATTTGGGGCATGCTTTCCGTTGACATCAAGCCCAACGGAGCTGTGGGGATTAATTATCAAACTTTGTACAAATAGTTGTTTAGAAAAACAGCTCTGTATAAGGAATTACTAATATCTACCCTCTGAAGCCTGGAGGAGGAGAGAGCACTGCACAAAGATAGCACACAACTTTCCCTCTAACCTGGGTCTAATGTCTCCCCCAGAGCCAGCAGGGATGGAAGATTATCAAGCTGGCTGGCCAGAGAGTAGTGGATGTTGCACAATCTTAAAGAATATACTGGCATCCACACTCCCCAGGTGGAATGCTCAGGAAAACACTGTACCTCCACATCACCCCAGGCTGGGTCTGTGCCTCTAGGGCACCAATGAAGCCACTGATGTATGCTGTCACTTCCTGTGAGTATCACAGTTGGCAGCTGCATGGCAGAGGCAGTAATCTTGAAAACAATGATTAGACACAATGAGAAATATAATGGGTACTCAGTGGGTAAATTGCTGATAGCCAGACACTGTTCATCTCCACCGCTGGTCAATGGAGCACCCATGTCCTGATCTACAGAGAGTTTGCTGGTAATTCAGCTGCATTAAGCTATTCTCCAGGAGAGAATGAGTTGCAACAGGATTTTGTAAAGTGGCACAAGGTATTCAACTATTCAGAGCACAACATACGTAACAGTACATCTACACTAGTAAGTAAAGGTTTGCTGTATATGAAACAACACCTACCTGGTAATAAAGAGTTGGGATTAAAACAGGGTATTGTTTTGGACTTCCCCTGAAAAATCAATACAAATCCATCTCATCACCAGTTCTCATTAAAAAGATGTTGAAGGGAAAAAAAGAAGCCTTTGAAAGTTGTCATCACAGTAAGCCTTGAATTTCTGTCCCTGGCAACCACTGCTGACAGTCTCCATTGAATCATCATTATATTAGTACTTGCAGCTATACAACCCCTTTATTTATTTATTTAATATTTTCTGTCCAAGGCTACCCAGCCCATTTTTGTAGATCTCTGCTACCTTACTCTCTCCTTTTGGCACAGAGCCCCCTGTAAGGCCTTGATCCTGCAGCTCCTGCATTAGCTTCAGTGGGATTCCACATAGGTGAAGCAACGTGCCTACACACAGGACTGGCCCCTACATGAGCTTTGTCCCAAGCAGCCTGTTTACTCCATTATTTCTAAGGGCCAAATTCTGCCCATAGATGCCTAATAGCAGATGGCCTTTGAGATCATGGATGACAACATGTGCATCCAAGGACAGAGTTCACCGCAAAATTGAAATTGTCTTTGATTTTCAAAAGTGAATTTCAAAGCTTTGGGGTTTTTTCCAAAAAGATGCTTTACACCAACATCAACACTTTATAAATGTAAAAATTACCAGTGAGTGTGGGAGGGAAGGGTTATTCCCTGGAGGAATATTTTGTTATATGTTGCATGTGCGTTTGTATTTAATAGCAGACGGCAGGATCTCTGCAGTGGCTGTCTTGCTCTAGGAAAGGGGAAGCATTTTAAGGAAGATCCTTTTAATTGTTATTTGGTAACATTTGATTTAATTTTTATTTTAAATTGGAAGCACCTGGAGATTATTAACAGGTGCGGGAAAATGAATTAACTAAAAGTGCATTTTAAAACAAAGTGTTTGAAATTCAGTTCCCTCCTACCTTTACATGCCAAGTCCTGAGCATCTGGATTTGTATTTCCCACATCAAAATGCCTAACACAAATCCAACCCAAAGCCCATTGACTTCCACTGACTTCAGTGGATTTGGATCAGGCCCACCGAGCAGGAAGTGTTGTGCTTCACTCCGTGACTTGTAAAGCTTGTTAGAAAAATGTGTAACATACCAATTCTAAGTATTAGCGAATATATTATCATAAATTTCTCATTAACCTCTTTTGATTATGGCAAAGTTGGGTTGACATTGAAGATGTGATTTTGGGGTGTGACACTTTATAATATAAGACTATGTTGATGTGCTTAATGCAAATAAAATGTATGTATGCACAAAGAATGTATCATGCTGGCCCACTGAATTCATGAGTACGCATTCAGGATCTTCCTATTTTTATCTGTGCTACCAATAGAGTATAAAGCGTTCTATAAAATCTCTCTCTCTCTTACACACACACACACATACACACATGTACACAAACACACACAATAATAATCTGTAGAAATGAATGCTACACCTGGAGTACATGAGATATTGTTCAACTAAAATGAGATTTAAAATTCAGATTAATTAATAATAATACATAATTCCTAAAATTCCTATGGTTCAGTCTTTTCAGACCTATACAATACTTTTCATTCATCGATCTCAAAGCTCTTTATAAACCCAGATCCCCTGAATACCATTCCAATGCCATATCTAATTCATTGACTCTCTTAACAGGGTTCCACTATGCTATAGCCATATTGCAGTTGTGATTTTACCTGGGTGTTCAGTCTGCATATTCTGCTCTTGTATAACTTGAAACCTGACAGGCTGGGGACTACTGACAATGGGGTTCTCTGAACATTCAATACAGATCTTTCTTGGTGGTTGAGTTCACATTGACAAAGTATTAGTATCATTAAAAAAATCAATACTTGTGAACCGTTACTGGTATATGAGATTAAAACTTTCCCTGCAGTCAGAATAGGAAATAACTGTACTAACTGTGTCGGATTTATTGTTAAATGTTGACTTTTAATGGTGACCACTGTATTGTGGCTCCCACATGATATCTTAGCACAAACATTTCTGACTTCTCTTTATTTTTCTTGCTTCAGTTTATCTTCTTTGCCCGTCCCCCATTCAGTCCATCTCTGTCAACTATTTCTGCTTCCCTCAGACAATTCCTCACCTTGTACTGGATGTCCTGGAGAATTTCAGTTACGACCTTTAGGCCTAAATGTTCCTTTCCTATCTGAAACATAACAAACAAACAAGCAAACCCAAAAATGAACTTCGCTGCTGTATTGTTTCTGAAAACTAAGAGAAAGGTCAACAAGTCTGGCCAATTCAGTGCTTGTTTGTAGTTAAGTTATACAACCTTGGATTAACCAACTATTCTGGTACATGGCAAATTCAAACAAGAGGTACTAATTCACATACAAAAAAGTCATTGGCCTGAATGAAACTAGATTTAAGTAACTTTAAAACAGTAACAGAAACTGGCAGAATTAAAAAAAAAAAAAATCAAAGTCAAGGTTGATAAGCCTGAACTCACCTTGTTTTGCCTCCACAGTGCAGCACATGCTTCATGTAAGGGTCAAAGTCATGCAGCATCGTGAGGTATAAATGCCCAGGCTACAATCTGTCCTTACACATTTTTGTTAGAAGAGTACGTAGAAGAGAACTTAGTACACAAGCATGACAGAAACCTTTGAGTTTGTTCCCACAGTATTGCATAGCTGAGGCTGTGTGCTCCACTCCTTATTAAGGATAACCTCTCATTGAAGCGAAGGAAAGTTTGCTTGGATGAGAAGTGCAGAATCATAGCTCACCCCTTTCTTCCCCAACCCCCCATATACACCCACACCCTTTTTATACTCCAGGGGTGAAATCCTGGCACCATTCAAGTCAATGGCAAAACGTTCCCATTGACTTCAATGGGGCCAGGATTTCACCCCAGACCTTTATTGAATGTCTTTGAGAAGCAGACAAAAGACACATGTAGAAAGAAATTTTTAAAATGAAAGATCCTGATTATTAATGTAGATTTAAAGTAGCCAGGTTGAATCATAGAATCAGGGCCCATTTCTAACCTGAGCTATATATATATATGCTCACACATATATGCATGCCTGCCATTGACTTCATTAAGAGCTGTATGAACATGTACATGGGAACAAATGCGCTTAGATAGTTTACAAAATGTCATTGTTTAAATGCAGTATGTTTCTGAACTAGGTACATAAGCACTATAGAGCAGCATGGGCATATTTTTTAAAAAACCTACGGAAGCAAAAAACTTCACTGCACACACAGTTCTCCCCCTCTGGAGAGGATGAGAGAAAGAATGAACCACTTATGACAGATGTTACTCACATTGCTTAATGCCTTATTGGAAGATACTAAGATGGTGAGGGTCTATACAGAGTCTATCTAAGTCTATACAGAATAGAATAATAGATTTACAGTTTCCGAGGACCAAAAGGGACTATTGTGATCATCTAGTCAGACCTCCTGTATAACAAGGGCAATAGAATAAAATACGGGGAGCATTTTCAAAAGCACGTAAGTGATCTAGGAGCACAGGACCCATTGACTTTTAGTGGGACTCGTGCTCTTAAGTAGGTGATTTTGAAAATCCCTCCCTAAAAATCAGGAACTCATAAAACTTTCTGGGCTTGATTTTGATGTCACCATGCATCATGATTTCAGCTGAGTTATTCCTAACTTACACCATGCATTGTGAGAGCAGAACAAGCCCCTGCGGTGTTTTTACATTCATAAGAATGTTGACAAGATTGAAAGAACTAAAATTTGACTTTTTTTCTAATCTGCCAAATGTTTATCAATGCCTGTGGATGGGAGGAACTGGAGTGCAGGGGGAACTTGCACCAAGGCAGGAATAGGTTATTTTAAAAATGCACCCAACATTTCCAACTGACTTGTGGTCTTGGGGGTGCTCGGGCATGTGTTTGCGCATATAGGTTTTTAGGAGGAAAAAAATTTCAGTAGGAGTTAGAAACCTCCAAGAAGCGATTATAAACAGCAGGGGCTGAAAAAAAATCACTCTTTCTGCCTTTAACAGAAGTGAAAAGAAAATGTGACTTAATTTTCTCACTGGACCATTAATAAGTAGCATAAAGCAAATTATGATGTTTCTTTAGACAATTTTTAATTATGTGGAGCCTTTCTTGGCTAATAAGAAAACATCATGGAATGCTTAAGGCAAGAGACAGAAGTAGAAAAAAAGATACTGGTTAAGTTTCAAAGATTTATTTAAGAATGGTATGTAACTCTGTAAGTGACTCCAAGGTTATCTCTGCTGGAATTAGAGGGTGACTTACATAAGCAGTTTTGACATAAGCCTGTAGGATAAGAAGTTGAGAGAACTGAGAATTTCTAGCATTACTGTTTAACAATTCTATCTCAACACTGAGACTGTAACCAATGTACCTTTACATTCAAACAGAGGTAAATCTCAGAGGTGCTCAGAAGCTCATTATGGAATATGACTAATTAACAGTACAACTGTGAAAGGGAATCCATTTGATCAAAACATAAATCATAACTCTTTTCCTTGAAACTCCTTAAATGGAACTGTTCACTGCTTGTCATGACTAGGGCTGTGTGAAATCAATGCTTTGGGTTCACAGGGGTTTTGGGAATCAAAACTGGTTGGCTTTGTTCATAGGGTTCACAGCTCTTGAAGCCACTTCAGTGTCACTTAGAGTCAGGAGATCACATGAACCCACAATTAACTCCCAGGGTCACCAACAGGCCACACAGCCCCTTTATTTTTGACTTTTCAGGAAGGGCTGCCCCATGACCACCATCACCCAGCATCTCCCAGTCCAAAAGTCTCTCCCCACCTTATGCTCCTATGCAGAGGCCACACTATGGTGGTGTCCTTGGGTCTAGCACAAACTCTCTACGGGGTTACCCCTATTGGCAGCACTGGCCTGTGCTAAACTAAGTGGAGACTTATCCACACAACACTCCTCCTGTCCACGTATCTCCCAGGACCTGAATAACAGGACTGACCAAGAGTGGAAGGGAGCAAACTTTAAGTGGACTTGGTCCCTGAGAGATCTAGGAGGTGTTGTATCCCAGAGGCACACTACCTCCTTCTGTTCCCACTGGAGGGGTGTGATTCCACACCTGTCCAAGCAGAGACCTGTGTTGTACTGCCACCATTTACAGGTAGCACCATGCCGCAGTACACAACAGTTTAGGAGAAGAAACTTAAGAATTTCCTTTTCCAATTGAAACTTCAGGGTGAATTGATGGAGCCTGGATGTAATTACCCAAGCAGAAGTCTGGCCAGAACATCAATGCTAACAGCCTATTTCATATTAAGAGTGCTGTGGGACTTTTAACGAGCAAAGACGTGGTCAGCACTTCAGTTTTTATACAGCACCTGCAGCAGCACAGTGCCACCTAGCATGCTAGTGTTCAGCACTGACTGAGTAAGATTTCCAACACCACTTCCTGCTGCCACCTAGGTGTTCTTTGTTCTTCATCCGATGAAGTGAGCTGTAGCTCACGAAAGCTTATGCTCAAATAAATTGGTTAGTCTCTAAGGTGCCACAAGTCCTCCTTTTCTTTTTGCGAATACAGACTAACACGGCTGTTACTCTGAAACCTTTAAAGGTATGTCATCCAAGTACCTACCCAGCCCACCGCTGTTTAGCTTATATGCCATGACAAGGCTGCAGGACAAGGCGGTTAGATGGCACGTTTTCCATTCTTTAGTTACATTATTTTAAATATGTTGCTTTTAATCAAATATCATTTTAGTTACCATATACACTGAAGATACATGTAGACAAACACTTGTTGTAATCACTGTTCTCTTTAAGCTGTGCGTGTGTGCGCATGCACACAGATCCTAAACCCCGCGCACATGGCAAAACACTGCATGCACAAAAATTTGCACAGAAGCAATTTTTTACACACACAGCCTGTCAAAAACTTGCACAGAAGAAATGTTTTGCGCACACGGCCTGTCAAAAATTAGAGGGAACATTGGTTGTAATAGAATACAAGCAGCTGTCGATTTCTTTTGTTTTCTGAAATCACTAACGGTAGAAAGTAGAAGGGGACTCTTTTACAGGAGCCAAATGATAACATGTGATCACCACAGTAAAATATTTACCTGCACGAACAGAGCAATGATAGCTATACCGTGCTTCTTCCCCACTGCTTCATCAATACTGCTGTACCGTGTAGAGTTCCAGTGGATTAGATGGAGCTAAAACAAAACGATACAGAGAATGTCACCAGTAGGTAAAAGTTTCTGTGTACCTGAAAAACAGGAAGGTGATTTAGCTAACAAAGCCAGCACATATTATAGAAGATGGAATCCCATGATGACCATTATAAGTCCAGTAAGAAAGAAGGTACTGTTGATAGCCTCCCCTCCTATTTTAACCACAGAAAGGATGCCTTGCATTCAGCTCTCAAGTATCCATGACAAAGGCATGAATCAATGTGGGAGCAGTGCATTACAAATGGTGTACTCCCTCATTTTGAGGCTCTGATATAAACTCTGTAAACTCAAGCCATCGACATTACCTCTCACTGCCAGCTAGCTCTCTTCCAAACCTCAAATTCATATATGCCACATTAGAATATAGCTGTGGACATAAATTTTCCTAACGTTCTTTTAATTGGCTGGCTGTGCCTTCTTGATAGTACATGTCTCATGAACTACCACTGCAATGGTGAACTGCTGGGACCTCATCACTGAACAACAATCCCTCCTCCGCCCCATGCTCATTGAACGTAATGGGTTGGGAAAAGGTTAAATGGGGAAAAGGTAAACACAGGTAGCATGGCTGGGGAGAAGTGGAGACAGGCAGCTTGCAGATGCGAGAGATGAAGGTATTGGTGGATAATAAGTGTGTATTACGCTGCCTTTTTCCCCCCAAAGCGCCAGTAAAAGCTTGTGGAATCAGGGCTTGAATTAGTTGCTGCACATGTAAACAGGAAGCAATAGTCACTGGCTGGTAAAAGGGAGGTCTTATTCTGGCAAACTGGTACAGCTGCCCAGCAAGCATTGGGAATCCCTGTCATAGAAGCAATCTGTTAATGAAAAGAAAGAAAGGGGAAGACTGACAGCTTTATATAGTCAATGGCAATATGTATTTCAAACAGCTGACTGTTTCCAGCACTAATGATAACATGTTATCTCCTTGGCTGTGGCCCATAGCATTGCAGAGGTTTCCCCCACTCAAGCATGTCTGCTTTTAAGTTTATCTAGGAGCAGACCTGGCACATTCCATGCAGATAAAACAGCAACAAAAAACTAAATTTAATTCCCTGCTGTAAAATCAAGTGATCGATATTTTGCACTGTTACGTGTCTGAGGAGTGAAAATGTCACCTGTTTATCTAGCATTTTTCCCAGTTTCTCAAAAAATAGTCTTTAAAATAGAGTTTTTCTCTGTCTTACTATTTCTGCCTGGCACCCCCAAGCAGGGATGACTGCTCTCCACTCCCAGAGAGTTTGCTTAGATTGCTGAGCATCTCCCATGATCAGGCCCTCAGACTGCTGCCTCATCCCTTATTTCAGCTCAGATAGAAACCAAACATACAAATCTGATTATCATTCTTTCAGAAACATTCAATAAAGAATATTTAAATGTACTGTTAGCATTAGCATATTACATCATTTTGTTCATTCTGAACACAAATATTTGACATGATAAAGAAAACTCCAAGCTAAGTTTCGTTAGAAAGTCCAGTTGCATCTAGAAGTGCTAATATAAAAGGTACTTACCCATAGCTACAGAAGTTATAGGCAAATAAATTACCAGCTAAAACAAGACACAGAACTAAGTTGTGTCCCTGTACTCCTGCATTCATAAAACCTTACTTGGAACCAAATCAGTGTGAAGGAGCAAATCATCTTGTTTAAGTTTACTATTTAAATGTGTCCTTTGGTAATTTTGTTTTTTTCATAAGTTTGAAACTTTCACAAAATGACCTTTATTTCCATTTTCACTTTTTAATATTAAATGATTCTATAAAAAGCGAAACAAAAGATCAAATAAGGACAATTTAGTTACTAATACTGTCTCTAGGAAAAATTTGAACTAATACAACCCAATTAGTTTAGAAGGCAATGCTATACCTTAAGTCAGACTATTTGTCCAAAACGCTACATTATTTGATTAGACTGGAATTTGCAGATATTATGTTAGCCACTAGAGGGGGCTCACGCAGCCTCATGAACATAACAAACCTTGAAATTAACAAGGAAAAATCTACTTCCTACAAACAGGTCTGTACAGACACCCAAAAAAGAATAACATTCCAGTGACTGTAATTGTGATGGTAATGTCCTTGGTACTGCAGAAAACAATACCCCATATCACTGCTATTATTTTAAATGTCAGCATAAACCTTTCTTTCTGTGACCGTAACAATGGTCTTGAACGTTTAGAGAGCCCATTACTTTGACTAAGTCAACAGGCAGATCTGAGCTAAAGCCACCATGACATTCAATGTGTTGTTACGTTCAAAGAGGTAACATTTGTAATCTGACTTTTTTTGCATTCCGACAGCAACGTTGCAACATGTTGTTTTCTGAAGTTCTAAAAGGAAAATGCATGACTTGAGATTTTCCTCAATGAGGGGGAAGAATGTACCAGCCCCATATAGCACAACATCAGCATCCTTTACTTGTTGAGAGGCAGACTGGACTAGTAGCTAGGGCCCTAGACTGGGGTATAGGAGACCTGGATTCTATTTCTGAAACTGACCTGCTGTGTACTGGGGAGCAAATTACTTCACTTCTCTGTGCCTTCCCCACTGTGTCTTGCCTATCTATTTAGACTGTAAGCTCTTCAAGGCAGAGACTGTCTACTACAAGTTTGTACGTTGTCTAGTACAATGGGGCCCCAATCTCGGTGTAACAAGACTGATAACTGTAGCTCCGTTATTAAGAAAATCATTAGTGGTCAAATTTTGCTGTGGCCAGTCTACAAGGAGGAGCAGAAATACTGTGAAGTGCGTCCTGTGCAACAGAAGCCCTGGTGGGGATTTGTGCTGTGAAGTGCACCTTGCTGCTGCAGTGACCTGGTGGAGATCAGGATGATTATGGTCCACATCAGAGGAGGACAAGTGCTCTTGTGTTCTTGTAGCTGTAGAGCTCTGTAGTGGATATCCACATCCACAGACCATTTTTGTGGATCATCGATCAGATGAGGATACAAATTTTGTATCTGTGCAGGACTCTGTATATCTGGTTCTGTCCCTTGGCTTCAGAGGGTTGCTTGAGCCACCTTGTGGGTGCAGAAACAAAGCACTGAGATGACAGTTACTACTAGGAGATAAAAATGGATGCAGATGGGGAATAAGAGAGGGGCGGAATAGGATGGGTTGAATTAAAAGACTCCTGAATTTAACTGTGATGAGAGATGGGCGCATATGAGCATTAGTTAGGGACAAATTGGGCCTGGTTTTCGCATGTGCAAGGAGCCTTCCCTCCCTCACGCTCCAGCTACAGTGGGAGGCTCTGCATTCTCCTGAGCACATGCGCTATTCTCTGCTAGTGACCACTACATAGCTGAGAGTGGCAGGAAAAATATTGGGGGACAGTGCCACCCCCTCAGGTAAACACACAGTGCATGCTCCTAATGGGGTTACAGTGAGAATGTTCCCAGTGCCTGCTGGAAGAGCTCCAGGAGACATTGTGCATGGCACTTCACAGACAAGAAGGAGACAAAGGCCTTGTCCTCAGGAGTTTACAGTCTGAATTAGACAAGCAACATAATGAGAAATGACCACAAATCATACTATAAGAATGACCCCATGCCTCACTGCATTCGCTCTAGCACTGATGACTTTATACATGCACATTTAAACAAATAAACCGATGGATAGCTTCATTAAAAAACTAATCAAGCTAATTCTCCTCCAGGAGTGGAGGAAGAAAGAGAGTTCAAAACTGTACCTCTTCCTTCTAGTCTTATATACTTGGGAATCACTCAGAGGCTAAATTGATGGAGGCCATATAAGTAAATAGATAGGTACACCAAGGGGGAACCAAGAAAGGGAGACATCAGAAAACAAGTGGAAAAACAATTCTGCTCTTAGGAAAGCATTGTTTTCAAACTACCATTTATTTTTTACTCTTTGTGTGTGTGTGTGTGTTCTTTTGTTTGTTAGTTGTTTTATTTGTAATATGGTTAGGCATACAAAAGTCAGGTAACAACATGAGATACAAAAATAAAAACAACTACTGATGGCAAAAAAAAAAAGAAAACCCATCTACCAACAGAGATTATACAATTTGAACTCTGAGGATTACATTCCCCAATTGATAGAACATACAATTCCTGTTAATATTCATGGGAGTTGGATGTCCACCTTGAAGAACTGATCCCAACACTTCTGAAGATTTTTATAATACAAATATATGATGCCTTTGTAACTGTACATTTCATAGCTTCACTTTCCATCCAACATGCACCAATTTATATTCACTATTCTGAGAGTGATGCTAACATTTTGATCCTTATCAGACTAATGCACAATATTCTGCTAACCTTCATTTTACTCTAATGTGAGGCAGTCATATAAAGAACACATACTGGTGATACCCCAGACTGATATGACTATAACCACAGATCTGGTAAAATAATAGACTAAAATCACTAGACTGTACTGGCAGTTTATCATTATGTGGTTTTAAAGCATCCATCATTCAGAGGAGAAACAAGCTGAGACTGTCAGTACAACAGGAAAGGTTCTGTACAATTTACTCCGTTAAAGTTTTGATTTTCACTGGTTATGATGTTTTTATTGAGCCAGAAAGAGTCAGCTACTCTGCTACTCTGCCATTCGGATGCACAATGAGAAGTATTTTCATAAACTATTTATAAAACTAGGAAAAGGTCCTTAGCTGTCAAAGAAGAACTTATTTTCCTTGGAGGAGAAAATAATAATTCAGAGGATTTTATTGTAGCTGGATGAGTGGCAAGTTAGTAGCAAGTTCCTTTCAAAGTGAACTGAAACTTTAAAAATGGTAAATAAATAACACTGCACTGATGAAATTGACTTGTTCTGCCATCAGTTAGACAGAAGTTTCTTCTTAAGTATCACTAAGAAACTCAGATACTAGATTGAGCCTAGGAGAAATATTTCTTTCTGTAGGGGCCATATCCTAAGGACCTTACTTAGTTTTTGTTCCATCCTTCCTTAAGCCAAACACGCACTGATCTCAGTCCTTATGGTTTTACTCAGA